TTACATAACTTCTTTTAACAACTGTTTTTGACAACTCATCACCTTCGTTACTACCCCAGTTTCATTAACACCTTCACCTGTTTAGTTAAAATAACCATAACCATTTGTAATTTTGTCTGACAAACTTAATTCACACATAAATACAAAATAACATATATATAGTTGCGACTGTACAGCTAAGAAAGTGAATTCTCCGAAAAGAGTCTCTTCGCTGATCTACGTGTTTTGCTTTCATTAATGCCTGAGTGGGGATTATCCATGAATATATTAGAGCGATAATAATTAGCTTGTTACTTGGAATAGAAAGTTTAATCAGTCATATCATATAATAATTAAAATATGAGTACATATTTCTGAATGATCTTTCAGTTAAACCAAAATTGATTGATCACCTGATACTATTCCATTCAGATGTATTAGTGGAAAGCAACTCATTCCAGTGTCGTCATCCAACACGAGAATCTATATTTTCTGACGTAAGTACAATTTTCATATGATTTCATTTTGACAGTTATAAAGTTTTAAAAAAAACCTTATCTATCTCATTAGTCACTCGACGGCTACTTTTTTAAGTCATTCAGTTGAAATGACAATCCCATATATATATATATATATATATATATATATATGGATTTGTTGTATTCATCTGTATTAACTTCACGATGCTGAGTTTTTGGTTATTTGTGAATTTTCGTTTACTTATAATCTGCCGAATTATATCAAAGTAAAATAAAATGGTTTGTCTGTTTTATCACTCTAGACAGCCGTCACTAAGGGAACTTCAAACAGCTTATCGAAAAAAAGTGATATACCAGTACTACTAACACTAGTACTATACTACTATTCATACTACTATTGCTGCTAATACTGTTAACACTACGACTGCTACTAATACTTCTTTTACTAATTGAACAATCTGTTCATATATTTACTTGTCAAATCAATTCGGACAAAAATGAAGAAGCATATGCTTAGCTAAAACAAATAAAATTCTACATTTAAAATGTACAAATGGCAGACAATCAACTTGACTTATAATGAAATACACTATAAAAATGAATTGTAGGATTAATGTTAGGAGAGCTTTTAAAACCTCATTTTCAGTCAAACTGAAGAAAGAGCCCTTGGTAAAATAGAACAACATATTTTTGTAAATGTGTGGAAACAGCTCACCATCACCTTTAAACCAATTCGGTTAAAGGTGAAGTGAATTTCCAACGTAGGAATTTGCACAGAAGTCAAGTAGATCAAGTCACTACTTTCCACAAAGCATACATAAGACACACGCACATAAACCAAATGCAGATAAACACAAATATGCAGGAGAGAGAATAATATCATGGTGATTAACGAGCATTTAATAAATACAGGAGATCACAAGGAGTGATTGTGAGAGATATCACCATCATTCTGTCTAAATCTTTCAACCAGTCCGTCCCAGCCCAATCCCAAGTAATATAACAATGCTCGACAGAGAAAACGATGGCTTGGTATGCACGATACTTCTCTTAACCATTTCAATCGGTGCAGCTTCATAACCTCGTCGACTAACGTTGCTTACCTACTTAATACTCAAGAGATTTGGACTAGGGACTGGCTGATTGAAAGCCGATTGCTTAAGCTTATCAGCCATGTCTTCCCCGGTTCAGAATTATTCAGTAGTATATAAAGTGTGATCACTGCTTGAAGGTTATCAGTAACATGGAACTGTGTAAAGCAGAATAAGTCGGATAAATCCTATCATACGGTCAGCTGCATATTAATCACGTAAATGGTCAAACCAGATACTGCAAAGATGCACACACCAATTATTGTTTGTGGATATCAGAATATCAGCAGTGAATTAGTAAATGATACCTAAAAGATATCTTTAAAATCTCTCTCTCTCTTCACTTTTTCTTTTTCCTTCACGTTCCCAGTGGAACATAGGGCCTCAAGCTAGTGGCTTGAAGTTTCTGTAGCAGTGTTTAATTTTACAGGATGGGGCTGCTAGCCTCATGCCCAACCTTTCCTATTTACCAGCATTATTTCTGGCTTAACGAGGTAAGGGAGTGCATCGACCGGGGATCTAACCCCGGACCATTTGCACGATCGGCGAGCGTCCTAACCTCTGTGCCACCGACTCACTTAAACTCATATTATTACTGAAATAAAGCAACAAACAAACATTTCTCTCTCACCCAATTATAAGCTTAGGCAGGCAAACCAACTCATATTTCTAATGTTAGAAAGCTATTCCGCAGAATTTTACATTGTTTCATTAAAAATTATCAACAACTAAGACTCTTATCACACAATTCAGTGAAGTGAAAGAACTTAGCCTCCGAAGAAGCACATATTACTTAATTCTCATCAATCTAGCCAGACTAAGACACAAATAGTTACTGATTCTCTAGACGGCACATTATTTATATGAATTTTCAGTACTCTAGACTAAAGATAAGTTGTCACAGAGCATTGGACAGTCTTTCCATCGCATTGTGATGGTCTTCAGAAGTGCTCACCCATAACCTTACCAGATGTCAAAACTAGTCCCTAAAAATTTTAAGAGAAGCAAGTTACAACTCCCCCACAGTGCTAAAAATCCAGTCTCATGGATCTCAACCTCTTTTGCTTTGAGATATAGAGCCACAATCGTTCAGTGTCAGTGAGTATCTGTCCTCACAGTCACATCACAGGTCAGTACTTCTTGTTAGAATCTCATAACATTCATCTCACAATCAGTCACTACTGAGCAGTAGAATAATTTTCAAGTTTTAGGTCACTGGAAACTTTATTGACAGAAAGGTAGATTTCATCAAGAAACGGTGCTCTATTGCAAGATAAGAGAGATCCGATTTAATGAAATACTAGACTTCAACACAATGACTGAATGGTTAACTGATGTCTTTGTAAATTTAAGACCGTGATTTCAACCCATGTTTGGGTCGCAGACCATCGGACAGTCCCAAACTAAGAAAAAAACACCTATTCTTCGCTCCCTAATTTTCATTGGTTCCCAATATATGTACTGGGTTCCAAAATGAGATGACTGTGATTATCCATGTTTTTCAAAGGTAACTAATTTTTCCAAGTTATGGATTTAATAAAATAAGTGAATGAATAATTAACTTCAGATAAGCAGTAGTAATACGACTTACAACACTTGATTTATTCAACTGAGCATAACATGCTGGATACAAACTTAAATGTGGCAAGTTCATTTCATGTCCAAAAATAAACAGTTATTTATTTTGGTGTAATGAAAACATGCTGCGCAGTTATAAGCGTTTGCAAAGTTATAAGACAAGAATAAAAAGATGAAACTTGCTGTTGGACGTTTCAAAACAAACCGCTAGATTAAGTAATGTCTCCATACTCATTATAAGTCTACTGATCCTTGCTATCATGTGTAGAGATAGTGCAATTAATAACAGAATGTCGTCTAAGGAGGAGTACTCTTCAAATGATAAAGGAGTAACTCTATGAGTTATTCTTTTGTTATACATATTACTTTGATAATATATTCTCTGTCATTCTCTTTAGACTGTGTTGTTAAAGAATTACCACTTTCAAATAGTATTGTAATCATAATAATAATGCTCATGGGATGCGCATATATATATGGTGCCTCCATGTAATGCTAGAAAATCCCGAATATACTGATAAAGAAATTAGTTGACTTTTCAAAGAAAAGTTAATGAGGATTTTAGTAAAACCCTTTAACTTTTATGACTCCAATTAAATCAAGTCAGTCTGCTTGAATTACTAGCCTACCTGAATTTCCAACCTATTTTATTTTTTTATTATTTTATTTTGATTACAGCTTGATGCCACACTGTATTTTCAGTACAAGTATGTAATTTTCAGCATGTGATATCGGTAGCCCAAATTTTGCAGGCCGACCATTAATACCGGGTGTGCGTCGGCAGGGGATCGAACCTCGGACCATGTGCATGGTCGGTGAGAGTCCTAACCACTGTGCTACCGAAGCACACAAAGCGGAGTGCGTCGGCTTGGAATCGAACCCGGACCGCCCGCGTGGCAGGCGAGCATTCTACGAGTGAATTAAAGACGCCCGCAAATGCTTGTCACCGCCTCGCGACGAGCTAAGTTGGAGTACCTGTGACAATGCATCTTAATATCTTGTTGTTATAACCACTTAGTTATATCTGTCGGTTGCTAAATGTACTCATGCACATTTTTAATTGGTTTTCAACCTGCCATCGCTTATTTCTGGGAGACCAAAGAAAAATTTCATGAAGGATTAATTTATTCTTCAGATAAAACGGCATTGAATCACATGGCATACTGGTGGTGGCTGTTTTACTTGAAACTCCCCGATGAATACAAAATTTTGCATACTGTGTAAACTTATTGTGCAGAATAAAGTTGTTATTATTATTAATTATTAACTAAATGACATCGATTTATATGGGATTTCTAAACAGTCTCTAATAATAACACTGAATTTAGTTAAACGATGAAATTTTCTCCACCAATTATCATAGTTAGTTAATCTGATACGTACTTCAGTGACACAGTGGTAGAATGTTCTCCGACCACGCAGACGCGCTCCTTTACCTCAGTAAGCCACTAATAAGGCTTGCAAAGAGGGAAGGTTGGGCACGAGGCTAGCAACCCCAGGCCTTAAAAATAAACACCACTGCTACCGAAACTTCAAGCCTTTAGCTTGAAGCCCGATGTTCTACTGGGAAAGTAAAGGAATAAAATTGAAAATCTGATATTCGAATAGGAAAAAATGAATTTAAACAATAGGCAGTATAACAGTTAATGGGAGATTATTTCAAAGGAACAGATGAACAGTTGAAGACTTTATTGTGTGAACGGTAACAGTTATGAGTAAAGTAGCAGATATTCAACAATTAAAAGAAACATCGTGTCATATGATGATAATCGATCTTAAAGATGAAAACCTTCTCATTAAACAATGAAAATAAGTCATATAATTGTAGAATAAAATAAAGTTAGATATATATTGCATATCATCAATCAACCCTTCACTTCACTTCATTGCTAACATGTCGACTAAAGGAACTGAATTTACTAAAGTTGACATCTGGAATACTGGGCCACTGGCTTGATTCAGAAACGTCAGCTTCACTTAAAATTTCCTTAATCTTTTCATTGACAATTTCATCATCAGGATCGCATGCAGAATGTAAGTAACTGTTTAAGTATTCTTCTGACATATCCATTAGTATTTCCGCTTGGTCTAATTCTTTAACCTTTTTAGGCATATTGACTTTTCCCATTAACTAGAGGAAGAAAAAAAGAATGAATCAGTGTAAATTAAGTTAAACTACTGGTTGAAAATGAACTTAAGGTTGTATAATAAAAGTTAATTGAAAATATCCACCCCGGAAAGTTCATCATGAAATCTATGGCCAAGACAATAGAATACTATTCTTCCTTATCTGCTTACAACAAGCCTTGATATCTACGACTGCGATTCAAAGGTGATATTCCAAACGAAATAATAACCAACAAGCTGAGATTATCGATTCAAAGAACTTCTAATGCCGAGCAGGTTGCAACTCACGTTTTTCACATGATCAGTTGTGATTTCCAGACTGAAAGACAAGGTACCTAAGCTAGCCACTTTTCATTGTATCTATTAATTCAACAGCTCCTGTCGAGTCATTTATACTGGTTGTTACTCCAAGAACTTAGTCTTCCGTGCTTGGAAACACTTAGCATTGTGGTTGAATAAAGGTGTGGTGAAAACCTTCAAGAGTTCTCCATTAAAAGCAGAAGGAACTTTGAGCCAAGAATATTCTTTTTGATGATTTCCTCTTACCGCTCTCTCTCTCTCTCTCTCTCTCTATATATATATATATATATATATAACACCAATGGAATTACAGATACACCAATTATAATCAGCATAAAAATGTAGTAGTAAATAGTATATCCTGCCGATTGCCTCCGACCATCTAATACCAACAATTCAGAGTGCAACGTGATGGCGAGCCACCTGGTATGGTGGCCACATTGCAAGCTTGACTGATAGAATTCAGTCTGCACCGAAGACAGGACTAGACACATTGCACTAGTTACTGACTAGTGTCCAGTCAGGAAAATCAAATAGAATTTAGGAAATTTCCACGACAAATCAAGGATCATTAAAACCTTGATGGCCATGGTAAGGAAAACGTCTGAACCAATTTCTTTTAGACACATAGATTAAGGTTCTTAACGTAAATTTTAATAGCCTCAGCAATGTGTAATAGACAAACTCTTGAGGTAAAATTAAGATTAGCTGGTATATGGTGGATGACTTTGAAGACCTTGTTTACATCAATTTTGTGTCTTGTATCTACGAGATGAGACAGTATAGAACTATGAAAGGAAGTTGTTCCTCCCTTACTTAACCACATAAGATGGTGTTTAGAAATTCGACGAGAAGCATGCCTAACTGTTCAACCTATGTATCTGGCTTCATAGTGGCAATCAAATTCATAGACTACCTTGTCCAAACAGGCAGTCAAACAAAATCCCTACAAAACTAATATTCGAAAATTAAGACAGTATTGTAGAATCATTTTGAATAATTTAAGCGGGACCAATCAATTTTACAAAAGCTTTTCGTTACCGAAAATTGCAAACAGCAGAGACGATTGAAATTCGCTTAAAACAAGCAGAGCTCTGTGTGCAAAAGGAACTGGTCCAGCCACTACTGATACATTGACTTGCTTTGGAAACCACAAATTCATAAATTCCCTTTTATTTTCTTAATTTATCTTTTATTCAGTTTAATATTACATTTTTTATGCATATTACCACTTATAGATGCTATTCAACTGTAGTCTATCGATATTATTGCTTCAACATTATTTAAAATATTAACGTTGTCAATAAAAATATTTCTTTAATTACTTCTGCCACATAAATGCAGACCCCGATGAAAAATTTATCAAAATGAATCTTCTTTGTTCACTAATCAGTTGCTGTTTTTCAAAAAAATTTTTAACCGCTATCATTAATCAAATGGATATTACTCTAAGAAAATATGCTCTAATAGAGTGAGTTATCCCATTCGCAGAAAATTCAATTAATAGATTATTTAACAATAGTTAAATTTTCCCCCAATGAGAAGTCTGTACAATTAAAGAACTATACATTTTACACATGAAAAGGCTGAAAGTTTTAAAATAAATACGTCAATTAACGGTCTTTAGATTAGCATAGTGCATGTGTGTTAGATTACTAATTTGTTACATTATCTGGTTTTCTTTCCATGCTAAAATAGTTCTTCTGTTGATAGAACATCTTGTAACTGCAAATTAAGTTACCTTCCGTTTATATTCATGGTATAATTCAGGAGTATATTCTGAATGAAGTGTTCTCAGACATCCAAACTCTGAGCTACAAATATCCCTTACCACTAGCAAGTGTATCGGACAAATTACTATCCTAACTTTCCCCTTAAGTTTATAGATTTGGCGAAACTAGTTTTGACCTCAGATATTAAAAGTCAATTGTCAGAAAACTTTAGATGTGGAAAAACGGGAGACAAGTATTAGGATTACCACTTTTAAAAGTTCAGAATGAAGTTTATTTTATAAAAGGAATGGAAAACAACAGAACTAAACTTTAATTCTCGCTTATAGATAGGAGGGAAGTTTGAAGGGCACTTTACAATCTTTACTTTAAGTATCAAGATCTGAACATACTTGAACAAACTGTTTAAAATTGTATACTTCCAACAAGTGTTTCCTCATGAATTTGTTTATTTTTGCAGCTAATTTCAAAATCTATTTTCTCAAAGATAATGTAAAAATAAATGGCTTTAATGGTCAAATATTACCAAATTTTAGTGGTTACTGATTAAAACTATCTCTACCTGCTTATATGTAAAACTATGTAGAATGTTTCTATTCTAATTTTTAGTTTAGGCATCAGAGAGCTACATTAACAAAGTAGGGAGGAAGGGTCAGTTGTGAATAGTTTGACAGCAGTTTGGACGCGATATTATAGTTGATAAGTCAAATTGTAAATGTGACAGTTTTAGTGGCACACAGTCAATACCTTGTTATAGCTTTTGATGGATTTTGTAGCTGATTGAACTGATTCTCCGCATTTTACTGTAACAAGTGAAGTTGTTTGTTTTGTTTGTATGGCGTTGATCTGGCTACCAAAGCCAAACATTTTACGTTTTAGAGCGCGAACCTTAGATAATTGCTGAGCTAATGGTCCACAGGCAAACATTTTACCCTCTCTAGCCATCTTTTTAAGCTCATTCTCTAGTTGCCTCTCTTCATTTTCCAGTTGAGTAATGTTGTTCTGTATTGATCTGTGTATTGACTCTCTGTCTTTTTGTCCTTTCCTGTGAGCCTTTTCCAATTTTCCTGATACTGTGTTCGACATTATTGTAGTTTAAAAGTTCCGTTTATACCACCAGACAAGATGATGTACTAAAAAGTAAAATGATATTGATGCTATTTATACTGACTTAACAATATATGAGATGAAATAAACATAAATTAAAAATATGTATATATATATATATATAGACTTCATCAGATAGCAACATCAACTATCGAACCGTTAAAAGCTAAATGCTTCGTTTTATTTTATGGGTTATCAGAACCTTCTCGAAGAGCGTGATCATTAAAATCTCGTGTTGTCATCTTAGGAACAGTTAAAGGTGGCAGTTAAAAAACTGATTAATGATTATTAAATTAAAAATCCAAAACACTACTGACTGAAGTTATTAACAGCTAAGATGAATTACTTGATTAATTTTATTTATAATTTGAGGAAATTAGTTGCAATATTGTGATTAATGCTGAAAATTCCATTCTGTATCACAAGTACTGTTTTGAAATAAAGTAAATCATTACTATTATTATAAATTAGGTAGAAATAAAGTATAATTATATTTTAATAGTTTACACACAATGATAAGTTTTGTTATTGGTAATTTTGCTCGAAATATTACCAATAACAAAACTTATCATTGTGTGTAAACTATTAAAATATAATTATACTTTATTTGATCTAATCCACAATGCTCAAACTTTTTACTGATATTAGGTAGAAATACTTGAGAAGTAGTACTCACTTGGGGGATTTAATCAAATCCAGGCACTTTAAGCATAACCCTACTAATTTGATAACGTTGGAGTCATTTCGCTTAGTGTCATGGTTGTTTCAAATAATTTGGTTAATTTAAAAGTCACCTACACAGACAGATTTTTACTCTTGAGTACTGGCTCAAAGAATACATTTACTCCGATATGCAATTCCTTCAATCTGCTGCTATTGTGATTAAATGAATATACAGAGGTTTTTTACATATTAGCTGTGGTTTGGTCCCTATCAGCTGTATTTCTAATTAATTATAATTCAATAGTTTACACATAATGATGAGCTTTTTGTTTGGTTATATTTCGGGAGAAGTTACTGCCCGTGATCACACTAACTACCGAAATTGTTTTTTATTTATAATGATCAAATAGGTGTTTTTTCCTCAAAATGAGTAGGATGTATTTTCTTTATTAGTCACACTAGATAACAATCCTATAAATCAGCCAGGCTAACCAGATAATTAAAGCAACTTTTAAGTTTATTTACGCCACAATACTCCCTTTTTCGGATACTGGGACAACTATCTAACCTCACAACCATAACTACGACCATTTGGTTAGATATTCAAAGTATAACTACATATTTACCTGAAATATGTATCATATACGAAAGAGAGTGGTTTGGACTATCAGATGTTCAAGAGAAAATTCTATGCTGGAATTATTATTTACTATTAGTCTGTTTAGTTCATATGTGCACAACAAACGACATAAAATGTGGTTTTCTAGTACTTACTGGCTAAAGGATAGTGTAAGCCACCAAATACAAAAACATTTATGTTTGGTAAAAATGTTTTTGTTTTGTACAGTAATAGTGAATATTCAACAAATGTTAAACATAACATCGAAGTATGAACACACGAATTAGTAACTGAACTTGCATAATGCCAACATCCATCAAAGATGAGGTGAAACAGTAGGGTAACCATATCGCTCTTTTGTGTTTCTGGAAAAACAGTCACACAAAGGAGGTGGCGTTTTAATCTTCTCTCAAGGTTTACCTACTATTTGTTTTTAAATGATGCCCTTCACCACGTATTGGTGTATAGGAAACCGAGTTTATATAAAGTGATATGGTAAAATTTGAATTACATTTTCTTCATTAAACAGTTTCAAAGATCCACTTCATTAAGGGATTGCTTATCGTCTGAATGACTGGATAGCCAACTTATTAATCGACGTCTGACTTTGTGTAGAAGTGAAACTTTTTAATTTGTCTAACTTTGAACAGGGACACTGAGTGAAAAACAGAAACAGAATGAGCTAGTTGGAATGATGGCACAGAGGGCGAACGTGAATAAGAACTGGATATTAAAGAGCGGTGACATCCCGAAATTCGAATTTCTAGAGTGAATGATTTTGGACCATGGTATGGACTACTGACTTCTAACACCACCAGAACTCCTGTCTCATAACACACACCCCTTTATGTAGCTCTTCAAAACAGACAACAAACCGATGAATTTGTGCTGTATTTGGAAGCTAAATCGTCTAAGTCTTTTTCAAAGTGCCCTTTGTATATGTGCTTAGACCTGGTTAGGAATTAGTTTACTAGGTGTGATACATTTTCAGGAGTAAGCGACATGGTAGAAACCCAGAATGGCTTTATTACCCCCTTTGCTTTAGGTCAGCCAGAAATTCATTCTGTTAGAGATAAGGTTTCTGAAAATTCAAATTCAACCAAAGTCAGACATGATACCACATTTATCACAGAAAGGAAATAAATTTGGTGGCGTTGGATATCTTTTTCATACAACTGTGTCATTTTTATTTTGTTGGATAACCTTACATAAACCTTTCTAAAAGCATATTTTCTGTAAAGTGCGTTCATTGACACAGTACAACTTCTCAACGCTAATTTTACGGCCAAACAGACTGGCAACCCCCTTTAGGACAAGGGAGGTGCGTGCTGTTCCTCCTCGAAAAACTAAGGACGTAACAGATAGCGGTAAATATAAGGGTAAAGATTTAATTAATGTGGCCTCATCAGAAGATGAAACTTGTTTGATCCTACTGATTATTTTATTCCAGAGTTGCCTTTAGTATTCTTATGGTTGTGGATTTGAAGTCTTCAACAAACAACTAGTCAAGCTGCTCTGTTTTATTTACCATGGCAAAAAATATGCAATACACATTCGTATGCATGACCATTTTTAAATTACGGAAGATCAATATTTAGTAGGTGGACTAAGATCTTTGGATACAGAATTTCAAAAATGAGCACACGGTTTCCTAAACTTTGGATTGTGAAACTGTAATAAAAGATATGTTGTTGCGTATAACTGCTAGGAGAGTGAAAACTGACCTACTTGTATGCTACGGTGAAAAATTGGAAGTCTTACTATCTAGTGCTCAAATGCTTATTTCTGCTTCCTTGAGGACTGTAACTACAGGCTTTACTGCATAAACCAGTATTAACGCACTTATTGGTTTTATCTGCTCGAACAACTTAGTTATTTGTAAAATGATCTCTCGCAAACTTCTTATACTGGTCATTTACAATCCAATGATTCGAAAGCAGTTAATGTAATAACTTCAGCTGGGTAAAATCAAAAATTTCAATTTGTCAGCAACCAACTGTGAATTAAATAAACAGCGAACAGAGCGTGAACGGATTATTCAAAATCATTTCAGTGTCATTTTGAAGATTAGTATAAACCAAACTGATTTCTTTTCTCGCTTTTCTTGGTAATAATGAAAAAATTCCTGGTCTTCGGTGAAGTTCTATGTGTCAGTCATGCTCTTTCACCCTCTGCAGCTTTGGCGGATTCCGTTGGAGGTTGGGTATTTCTGAATGGTGGATTATGGTCTGTTTTAATAATGATAGCTTTGTCCCAAACAGTGTTTTTTGGAACAAATATGGAATTAAGTCTGCGGCCATTGTGTGACAGGAATTAATCTGTTCACTAATCAGCCGTTCAGTGCAGTTAAGTAGCTGTGATAACGAAATAGCAACAATAACAACAACCATAATAGCCATAATAATTATTTTCCAAGCGAAAAATCAGTCATGATTAACTTTCGAGCACCATAGTGTTTTCTCTTCAAAGAAAGATTTTGAATGCAACTGTACAGGTATAAGGAAGGGGGCACGGTTGATATGGTGTCGTATGTAAATATATGTCTTTGTTATAATATCTAGGTTTGTTCATGAATGAATGCTACCGTTTAAATAGGATGAAGTAAATGAAATATATTTTGAATTCCTTTATATCCTCCAATGCTACTGAATGCTGCAGGATTCAGTTTATAAGCAAAGTCAAAAATGGAAGTAAAATAAATGAAGTTATATCTGAAAGACATTCAAAAGAGCATTTTAAACAACTAACCTTTTGTTTCAGTAAGGGACGGAAACGCTGTGTCTTATCAAGCAAGTATAGTTTATCAACTATTGAATAAATTAAGAAAGAAACACCAACTGAAAATTCCTACCCTGCTTGAAAAGTGAAAACCAATTAACGACCTTGAGAAATATAAACTTTCCACTTCTTTGTGGATTCAATATCCAATATCCTGATTACGAGCTAGTATAAACCAGTGATTTCTTTGAGCTCGCTTCTTGATTGTGAGGTAGAGGTTCCAGATATGCCCAATTAAAATACGAGGAAGCAATGTCGAACCTGAATGTTTTCGATGTATAACCTCTTTGTATTCAGTTTACCTGAGATAAGTTTACACAGACTTTTAGCTTGGGACAGAGAGCTTGCAAGTGGTTTAAATTATTTTCTTAATAAATATCGGCTTCTGCTTTTGAACCTACTGACGGAAGGAACAAAAGTCACTCCCTTGTGGAACTGACTGGGATAATAAGTTTTCCATGGAGGTGTATTTCATGCTTGACTTTTGACCACCCCATCTGGAACTTCTGAAAATTTTCGGCCTGATGGTATGAAGAGACGGGACAAATTAGGAATTATGTCATTTCCTAAAATCCTTAACACCGTGTTAGGTTCATGTGGTGATTGACTATTTCTATCTTTGTATTGTTTAAATACTTACTGTTGATTGTTAATATTTCATATATGAATTGCATAATAATTCCGCTAAATACAAATTCCTGAGTTCTGCCCTCTCTGTGTTTTGTTTGGATTCTTGTAATTCGGTCATCTCGAAATACTAATATTCCAAGTACAATAAATTACTACAAATTGGCGTCGCGATGGAACTAAATAACCTGGGAAAACTTCCTATAAATGCTACTCCGTGAGAGATTGCTGATTATTTGGAATGCTTCGATGCATGGTGCATTTCAAAGAATGTTCGGGATGACAAAATACCAGCACATTTCATCACTGCTATTGGGCTTGATGCATGTAACCTAGTGAAGAATCTGGCGTTTCCAGATAAACCCATTTCTCTGCCATATGGTAAGCTCCGCGAACTTCTGACAGATCACTTCCATATAACTACTTTTGAGACGCGAGAGAGGGCTCAGTTCAATAAACTGGTTCGTGCTCCCAACCAGAAGATTTGAGACTTTATTCTGCAACTCCAAATACAAGCTTCAAAGTGTAACTTTGGAGATCAGCTGCATAATCAACTACGTGATCGTCTAATTGCTGGAATCAATATTCCTAAATTAGAGAAAGAGTTAATTCAGATTCCTTCTTGTACTTTTCAAACTGCTAAAGATTTATGTATTACATATGAAGATGTCAATAATAAATACTCTGCTCCCACTACGTCAGTGTCTGATGTTATGCTTTCTAAAGTCAAAAGTACAAGTGTTCATGGAAAGCAATCCAAACTGCCATCCACAGGTAAAAGAATGCAGCCAGAGGTCAAAAACATTAAAATGTGTTTATCCTGTGGAAAGTTACATCTACGAAGAACTTGCCGTTTTCGGGGTGATAAGTGTCACAAATGTGGTAAAGTTGAAGACATCAAGACTGTTTGCAGAAGTTCGAATACATATGTTACCCAAAATCCTGATAATTTTTCCAATTTATCTGGTAAAATGCAGTGGATGTCTCTTTCAACTTTTCCCAATACTCAATCTCATCTAATGAGAACCTTCACCACAAGTTCAGGCAAGTCCCATAGTTTTATGAATGATACTGGGTGTACTGAATCTATAATTTCTAAGAAAGATTTACAATCGATTTGTAAGAATGTCCAGATAGACCCTACTACTAGTTCAATTACAGGCATAACTGGTCATAAATTACCTCTTATCGGTGCTACTAACATTTCTTTGAAATCAGACAATGGTAATTTTGTAAATATTCCCTTTCTTGTTAGTGAATATGGTCCATCTTTATTGAGACTAGAAGCCCTTAGATTGTTGAATGTCGAAATCTTACTTTGTACTGAGTTGTTTGATGAATCTTTGTTCAGAGAATTACTTCTCCAATGTTCAAAGAGTGTAGGTGGTATGAAGATTCAGCCCATCCATCTTGAAATAGAGGGTGATCCTATCTTCCTGAAACGCCGATTAATTCCATATGGATTGCGAGATGCAGTTAGGAATGAGTTAGACAAGTTGGTTGAGCAAGGCATACTTATGCCAGTTGAGTCTTCAAATTGGGCTACTCCTATTGTTGCGCCACTAGAGGCTGATGGAAAAACACCTAGAATTTGTGGTGACTACCGCCTTACACTCAATAGTCGTCTACTACAGCAAAGTTGCACTACTCTAGAAACTGAAGACATTCTCTTCAAGCTACATGGCTCAAGATACTTTTCCAAAATAGATCTAAAAGATGCCTATTTGCAAATTCCTCTTGATGAGGCGTCTAGTGCATTAACAACCATTAATACTCCATTTGGATTGTTCAAGTACAAGTTCTTGCCTTTTGGTTTAAAGGTTTCACCTGCAATATTTCAAAATGTAATAAGTCAGATGATAGATGGATTAGATGGCGTTGAGTCATACCAAGACGACATTATAGTTCATGGTTCGAACATCGAATTGCATAACGAACGTCTTTTGAAACTGTTCGGGCGTTTATGTGAGAATAATGTTCTTTTTAATCCATCTAAATGCCATTTCACTTTGTCGTCTGTATCATGCTTGGGATACACAGTAGACTCCGAAGGTTTCAGACATGATGCTAGTCGTTTGGCGCCTCTAATTCAAGCGCCGTCACCTAATAATATGTCGTTGTTGAGATCATGGATAGGTACTCTTCAGTTTTACTCCAGATTCATTCCCAACTTCACTCAACGGTTATCTCCACTTTTTGAGATTGTCTCCAGTAAACAGTTTAAGTGGCAACAACAACATGATGATATCTTGCGAAAATCTTTGGAGTTTCTTAATAAACAAGCTTTCTTAAGACCATTTTCATCGAAAGATAAGTCTGTTCTCACTACAGATGCTTCTCCTATGGGTATAGCTGCAGTACTCGAGCAAAATGGACAGCCTGTTATTTGTATTTCAAGACGTCTAAGTAAGAGTGAACAAGGGCACTCACAAACCCAGAAAGAAGCTCTAGCAGTTGTATGGGCAATAAGACGCTTGCACAAGTATCTCTTTGGTACTAAGTTTCACATAGTTACTGATCATCAAGCTTTGAAATTCATTTACAATCCAGAAAAATCTTTGAATAAATCATCTGCTGCCATTACAAGAATCCAAACAAAACACAGAGAGGGCAGAACTCAGGAATTTGTATTTAGCGGAATTATTATGCAATTCATATATGAAATATTAACAATCAGCAGTAAGTATTTAAACAACACAGAGATAGAAATAGTCAATCACCACATCCGCCACACGTCGAATATCTCCTTGCGTATTTATAATGATATCGCGGTTTGCTTGCCAGTCTCTGCGATCTTCTAACTGATTCTGTGATATCATTTCCATCAGTATCATCTAGACTTATTTCTGAATTATCTACAAAGTCGGGATTAGTAGCGGAGTCATTATAATCATAATCGGAACGACCTACCTCATTTATTTTCACTTGATCCAAGTGTCTGTTATGAACTGAATTATCTTCGATGTCTAATATCTTCACCATTCGATTTCCCATTCTTTGTAGTATGATACCAATAGAAGGTCTATAATCATTCCCTCTGTAATAATGTACATCAGAAGTCGTGGACATCAGATGCTTTCTGAGAATTCGGATTTGAATAGTTTTGCAGGACTTTCATGAGTACTTGTATGCTCCGCATTGCGATATTGAAGTAAGAAGTTATCCACACATCTCTCTAGCTCATCAAATTTTGAGGACTCATTGATGCTATAGCACTCTTTAATGTTCGTACAAAATTTTCTGCCAACCCGTTTGACTGAGGATGACGTGGTGCTGTGTACAAATGACGACAACCTATATGTTTGAGCCAATCATTGAAGTTCTTCTCCGTAAAATGAGTACCATTGTCAGTAACTAAGACATCTGGAATTCCTTCTCGACTAAAAATCTTTCTCAACGCTCTGTGAGTGAATTTGGCATTAGGACTATCTGTAATGATGACTTCTGGCCATCTAGAATAAGAATCCACAATAACTAAAGCATAATATGAATTTAAGAATGGACCACAGTAATCTGCATGAATACGCTGCCAAACCTCACAAGATGCAGGCCACGGTGTCCACGATGACTTCCCATAGGACATTTTATGTAAACAGCTAGAACAGCTCTTTGATCTTTTGTTAATGTCAGCATCAATTTCCGGCCACCAGCATGTTAGGCGTGCTAATGATTTCATCTTATCAGCTCCTAGATGAGCAGAATGTAGATCATCCAAAATCGCAGATCTTAATGTTGGAGGAATAATAATTCTGTCATTCAGACATAGAAATCCTTCAGGATGGACTGAAATCTCATCTCTTCGCTTATAAAAGTCTGGAAATCTTCGCTTACACTGAACATTCCAACCTCTTTTTGTTGCATTTATAACGCATCCGTAATATTTCCGAGTATCATTTATAAGTCGAACTCGATCCACCGGTAACGGCTGGACTAATAAGCAATCAGTATCATTAGCAGCATTTTCAAATAATGAATAACGAGATAAGAAGTCTGCATGAGGTATATCCTTTGCCGATCTATGTTCAATAGTGTAATCATATGCACTTAGTTCTAAACTCCATCTTTGAACCATAGCAGCAGATGATTTATTCAAAGATTTTTCTGGATTGTAAATGAATTTCAAAGCTTGATGATCAGTAACTATGTGAAACTTAGTACCAAAGAGATACTTGTGCAAGCGTCTTATTGCCCATACAACTGCTAGAGCTTCTTTCTGGGTTTGTGAGTACCCTTGTTCACTCTTACTTAGACGTCTTGAAATACAAATAACAGGTTGTCCATTTTGCTCAAGTACTGCAGCTATACCCATAGGAGAAGCATCTGTAGTGAGAACAGACTTATCTTTCGATGAAAAAGGTCTTAAGAAAGCTTGTTTATTAAGAAACTCCAAAGTTTTTCGCAAGATATTCTCATGTTGTTGTTCCCACTTAAACTGTTTACTGGAGACAATCTCAAAAAGTGGAGATAACCGTTGAGTGAAGTTGGGAATGAATCTGGAGTAAAACTGAAGAGTACCTATCCATGATCTCAACGATGACATATTATTAGGTGACGGTGCTTGAATTAGAGGTGCCAAACGACTAGCATCAGGTCTGAAACCTTCGGAGTCTACTGTGTATCCCAAGCATGATACAGACGACAAAGTGAAATGGCATTTAGATGGATTAACAAGAACATTATTCTCACATAAACGCCTGAACAGTTTTAAAAGACGTTCATTATGCAATTCGATATTAGGACCATGAACTATAATGTCGTCTTGGTATGACTCAACACCATCTAATCCATCTATCATCTGATTTATTACATTTTGAAATATTGCAGGTGAAACCTTTAAACCAAAAGGCAAGAACTTATACTTGAACAATCCAAATGGAGTATTAATGGTTGTTAATGCACTAGACGCCTCATCAAGAGGAATTTGCAAATAGGCATCTTTTAGATCTATTTTGGAAAAGTATCTTGAGCCATGTAGCTTGTAGAGAATGTCTTCAGTTTCTAGAGTAGTGCAACTTTGCTGTAGTAGACGACTATTGAGTGTAAGGCGGTAGTCACCACAAATTCTAGGTGTTTTTCCATCAGCCTTTAGTGGCGTAACAATAGGAGTAGCCCAATTTGAAGACTCAACTGGCATAAGTATGCCTTGCTCAACCAACTTGTCTAACTCTTTCTTAACTGCATCTCGCAATCCATATGGAATTAATCGGCGTTTCAGGAAGATAGGATCACCCTCTATTTCAAGATGGATGGGCTGAATCTTCATACCACCTACACTCTTTGAACATTGGAGAAGTAATTCTCTGAACAAAGATTCATCAAACAACTCAGTACAAAGTGAGATTTCGACATTTAACAATCTAAGGGCTTTTAATCCCAATAAAGATGGACCATATTCACTAACAAGAAAGGGAATATTTACAAAATTACCACTGTCTGATTTCAAAGAAATGTTAGTAGCACCGATAAGAGGTAATTTATGACCAGTTATGCCTGTAATTGAACTAGTAGTAGGGTCTATCTGGACATTCTTACAAATCGATTGTAAATCTTTCTTAGAAATTATAGATTCAGTACTCCCAGTATCAATTATAAAACAATGGGACTTGCCTGAACTTGTAGTGAAGGTTCTCATTAGATGAGATTGAGTATTGGGAAAAGTTGAAAGAGACATCCACTGCATTTTACCAGATAAATTGGAAAAATTATCAGGATTCTGAGTGATATATGTTGTCAATTGAGATGAATATTGAACGATCAATTCACGGTTTGTTGCTCAATATCAACTTCCCCAATTTTCGCAGAGGCATCAATACGACAGTCATCGTCTCATCGGTCGCTGTTCAGAAAGAAGTCAGCAGTAAACCATCAGAAGTAATTTTGTGATTTATTATTGTAATATTTGTTCACAGAACTTAGTTGTAACAGTGTTTATATGTTGGTGTTACAATAAAGAATCCTCGAGTCACCAATTGGTGTTTTGGTTTTTCGTCCGTTATTACTAAGCGTTTCTGAGAAACTTCAGGGAACAGCGTGAGCCCGAGCGTAGCAAGAGCTGGGCATTAACGGTTTATGAGACGTGATTGACAGTTTCTGATGGTAGAAACAGATCTGGCGCATTCAAACAGTTGGTGAAAGTTTGGATAGTCACCGTTCATTTCTCCAGGTGCCGGTCAAGTCCTATTTGAACAAGCAATATCTGGAACA